GAAATGTCACAAATAAAGCGCAGCATTGCAAACACACAGTCAGATGTAAGAAGCACACCTGACTGAACGTCAGGCCCGAGCTTAGGAAAGGTTAGAATTTCAATTTTTTAACGTCTAAACGTTATTTCCAGTGTTCAGCTGCAGCGTGTTTCATCAGACGGTGGCACTGTAAGCTAACTACCTGTGGTCACCAACAAATCTTTCAAGTCAAATCAAACTAATTCATCAAAAAGAAGCATACTGAATCAGGATGAACCCAGCAGCAGATTTCAGCAGAACAGCCTCAGACGCTTCTTTGGTTAAAGGTTGTAAAAGTCAGTGTCACACGACAATCAACAATCAAAAAACAGTGAAACGTCTTCCTGTTTTTCTTTTTATTTCTTTTTAGTTTCTAATGACATAATCACCACACAGATCAATACTAAGCGATCTTTAAAGCCACGTGTCGACACCTTAAACTTGAAGACAATGCAGTGTTTTAGGATTTTACAGTCAACAAAAATAAAATGTGTTAAAAAAAAGTCTATGGCAGATTCCGGTTTTGTGAAATCAGTAAAAAGAAAAAATTGTTTTATGTAGAAAATTCTTAGTCTTACTCGTCAAAAGTACATCTGAGCACAGTTAAATTATAAAATCAAACCTTGTGATAAACACCCTCCCGTTCGTTGGCTGTGTAAACAAACCCAACACAAGCTCGCTCTGAATAAAAAACAGATAAGTTTCTGTGGAGTCCACAGACGCAGATGTGACGCGGCGGGCGAGATGTGGGAAATGGGTAAATTCAGTACCAGCGCCTGACAGCGCTTCAGTGTTTCCAGTGTGTCCTGACACAGACAGACAGGCTCTGCATGCTTGTGCATTCAGGTGACGAGGTGGCCGAGTGGTTAAGGCGATGGACTGCTAATCCATTGTGCTCTGCACGCATGGGTTCAAATCCCATCCTCGTCGAGCGGAGTTTTGGTTTTGTGGTGCTTTATACATACTGTTAAACCCAAAATCTAATATCTGCAAAACCTTCCACGTGCATTCTCAAAATGTTGTTCACTGAAATCCTTAAAACACTTCATTTAACCTTTTTCCACACCCGCTCCCACTATTTGGTCTTATGTGCTTTTATAACCCCCTCGCTCACACCCGTTCTCACTGGGGCCTTCCGGGACGGTTGAAAAACGGCTCAGTCTCTTCGGGCGTCACACCCGTCTCCCCGAAAAGGCTTCCAGTTGGTGCGGCTCCAATCAGCTTGGACGCTGAGCCCCGACGCCTCTGGATGATCACCAAAACCCCGATGATGAGCCAGAAGAAGAAGTTGATCCACACTGCCGTCTGAGAAGGAAACAACATGACACGCAAGATGTACTGGAGGCTCTTTTACCTAAATCTGAACACATATGATATGCTAACTTTGACTACATCTCTTTATTCATGGGTTTTCGTAGTGTTGCAGGACTCCAGTTCATAATAATGCTTCTTTATGTTAAGCATTACAGTAGCTAGTATGTGTGGACCATGTGACTCCAGCCAAAAGCATAAAATAAGTGAATGAAGTACCGACCTCAGCTTTATGTAGACTGCTGTAGAACCTCTCTCCATCAAGTGGGCTGGCCCATTTTTCAGACTGGGCTTTTTCACAACTTTGCACACAGAAAAACATTGAGCATTAGACAGTTTAAAAGAAATCCGGGGTTATGATTCAATTCATTTTGGATTTGTCTTATATGAATTTAGTCTTGATTATTGGTCACTGATTCTATGAACAAATAGAAAAACTGCAGGCAGTTTTGTCAGAGGAAGCAGTGGAAAGCTGCAGTTACATAACATCAAAGTAAGTGGAGCTCAAAACAAGCAATTAAAAACTAACAACACCATGCATGTCTTTGCTTCTCTTTTAAGTGCTCGCCCTTTCAGAGGATTACAGTGTAGCCAAGGATGAAAAACTGTGTGCTGATGACATTTTTAAAAGGAAAAAGGGCATCCTGAAAGACAGACAAAGGCCAAGAGTAAAACAACTAGATGGTTATAACTAAATCTACCTTCATATGGCTTCATATAGAGCTCTAAGAGAACGTGGGCGGGTGGGTAAAGTGAAGCTTTGGAAAGGAGAAAAAGGGGAAAAACACAAAGTGACGCTCCCTAGCTTTCAAATGTTATTTTCATTTTCATATGCGAGTGTTGACGAAAGCGTTTGGTCCTGTGCCAGGTGTGGATGAGTGCAGGTGTCACCTGGTAGTGTTGGGGACGTTTTTCGTGACAGACGAGCAGAGCGTGTCGCGCCCGATCTTCAACATGCAGCCCGTGACGAGCAGGAAGAACAGGAAAACGCCGGAGACGGCAATAAGCACGTTCATCCACACATTCTCCCTGTGAAGGAGGAGAAAAAACAAGCAGATAAGAGCGGGAGAACAGCACTGTGCTCTTTAAAGTGAGGCAAAACAGAAGAAGGATGTCAAACTACAAAATGCAAGCTAATGTGCGATTGTGTCGCCATGCCGTGGTATGACACATGCATTTCTGCTTCTCTGTATCAGCTCTGCAGCTTATTCTGTGCTTCATCGCTGTGGCGACACACGATTTCACTTTAAGTTCAGCTTCAGGAGCTACTTAAATGATGCCAGTTTAAACCTCTGACAAAAATTCAACTTTTTCTAAATGTATTTGTAGTTTTTTTTGCTTATGTTGGCTACAGAGAACAATGTTTACATGCACACTTATTTTCCTGGGTAATCAATCAGTTTAAACTAAAGAAATCAGCCTAAAAGTGCACGCAGACATCTGTTAAATTCTGTCTACGAGATGCTTAAAATATCCTTTCTTGTGGCTGGCAAGCTCAAAAGAACGACACAATGACAGAGCAGGCCAGCATTTATGCAATATTTGAAGGAAAACACTGACGATTAAAATTGTTTTTAAACCCACACAAACACTGCAACTCTGTACTTTGTCGTGAAAAACACACACACACAGCATGTGGTCACCTTTTGAGTTCCCCTTCGCTGCAGAAAGTGTACACCCAGTACACAGACAGAGAGAAACACACCACTGCCACCATGATTGATATGGCCGACACAAAGTAACACAAAGAGGAGGATGTGGACGACTGGACTCCGATGAGCTTGGACGTGGCATTATAGCTGACCGCTCCGTACAGCATACAGTGACCTCCGAAATTACCCTGAGTAAAAAAGAGAGACAGAGGTTTGGGGGGGTCACTAAAAGGCTTGAGTTCCGCTTCACCGCTTCAAGCGCTTTGCTGGATGCTACAATAAGCGCATCAACGGTTGCATCTGACGTCTATAAATGAGCAGCAGGGAGCCAAATTGGGCACGAGAGGCGTCTGGGTCACATGATGAGCAAAGCATCCGAACTAGAGGTACAGTTAAAAACCTGCGCGCGCACACGCACACGCACGTTCACAATTTCACGTGCATATCACGCATTTCCGAGCGTCTGTTAAGCTAACACAACGAACAGTTGTTGACACACAACAATGCTCGTGTGACACTTCGCTAAAAGTTTGTGGTACATTTTTCGAGAAGTAACTTCTCCGATGTCTACAGTCCAAAAACATTAAAAATGTGGAGAAATTAGAGTTGAAATGCCGAAGGCAATGACACAGTGGGCAGAACTGGAGTGAAAGTGGAAGCGCGTGTCAGTTTTTTAATCCCTCGCGCTGCTTTTAATTACCGTGTAACACCCAGAAAACTGCGCAGCTGTGCGAAAACAATTATAGTAGCTTGAAAATATAAATCTGTAACACTGTATGCTGAATTATGGTTAAAGGATTTTTCTTCAAAAAATAAAATAAGAAGTTTGTTTCTTTTTTGTTAAACTTTCTGGGATAGACAAACGCACTACAAAGTAAGTCCACCCGGAAGAGGACGCGTACAACATGTAATATATGGAGCAGGTTAGTAAAACTTAGAAAAGTCACCTGGACGATGGTGACAGACGCTGCGGTAACAATCCCGCAGACAAAACAGCTGATGTAGAGACCCCACTCCAGCACCAGTAGCCCCGCTAACGCCATCATCCAGCAGCAGCTTAGTCCGCGTCTGCAGAGAAAAGAGCTGCCGTGAAGGTAGCAATAAAAAGGCAAACAACTTCCGGTTAGTTCCTTCACAATAAAATACCAAGCCTCCAGCAACCACGATTCGCAAATATTAAGAAGACAGTGAGTTGATTAAAAACAAGGCAAGGCAAAGTAGTAAACGTGTCCGGGTTAATCAATAAAAAATACATGAAAATGTTTTCCATTAAGATTAACACGTGTCAGTTGTTTGTTTAAATAGACTGTACTCTTATTTAACCGCAGACTGCCAGAACATTGTGGAAAAAAATGAATCAAGAAATAAAGAAATGTCTCATATATTTGTCACGACCTTGCCACACGTCTCAAAAACATGATTTAAAATGTTTTAAGCCTGACTTAACTTACCCGTGTGTTCTTCAGCTGGGTTATATTCTGGAGGTCAAACAGTTCGATTTCCGGTGATATTGTATCTTTTTTATTACCTTCACCCGCAGTCAAACAGTCCAAAGTGAATATCGTACGTCCAAACTCTCTTCTCGATATTAGTTCGAGCAGCAATAGAAGCTTCCTCGGAGTTTCACCGCAGCGCGTGAATGCGTAAAAAACAGCTTACTTGTCACACGTGGACACTGCTTGTCATACAGGCCCTAGATCGTTTCTCTTCGCTCAATCAGTTGGTTTCATCTGATGACCCAGAAAGATAAACTGAAAGTCTACAGCTAGATATATGTGTTATTTCACTCATGTTAACGCCTATATTTACGCAATAATTATTTTTATTATGCGGAAGCAAATACTGCATGTTTGCATTGTCTCAAATATGTAGATGGTTCAAGTTAGTCAAAGTCTGAGCTTCTCGAGGGTTATGAGGTATGAAATGCTAGAGTTAGACACAGTGTGTGTGTGTGTGTGTGTGTGTGTGTGTGTGTGTTGCTTCCTTCCCAGAATGCTTAATGAAACCTTGTGACTTTGTGTCCTGTGACCATGTCATTTTTATAGGGTATATGTCAAACATTTTAAGCATGTCAGATTCACCTCTGCACTAATAATAAGCTTACTAATTCCTGACACATAGCCAGTGTTACATCATTCAAGGCTGACTAGAAATAACTAACTGTTTTCTGTAATAACATGCCACACAATTTCTAATGATATGTCATTAGAAAGGAGCTTCAGAATTATGAATCAGCGCTGTTAGCTTTCATAGGAATTGTTTATGTGATTTACACCACTGGGTTACAAAAGTAAGTAGAAAAACAAATGGTATGTTGCAGAAGGTAATACAAGACAGAAGGTAATAAACTGATGAATGGATTGATAAATAGAAAGAAGCGAGGATTTTTCACAAATAATTCTTAAATGTGGACAAAGAAAGTCTTGCAAAAATACCAAAATAATACTACTATTTTGAGAATGTAACTTCACTTAACTAGGTGACTGGACTCATTGTTGGGGGGAAAAAAAGTAGACATGCCAGTGTGAGTTTGTGTGTGTGCGCTGCTGTCTCAGGAGGCGAGACTAAGTGGCGGGCAGAGCCATCATAAAGTATTAGTGTCAGTGAGCATGTGAAGGTGTTTTTAGATTGAAGCCTTAATGCATGCTGGCACAAATGTTGGACCCCAAGACCCAAACACTAGAAAGCTTCCGTTTGTCTATGTGTGTATCCACAAATCACCACACAAGCCTTGTATCTCTTTAATTCATGATAAGTTTAAACATCAAAATTCACCAAAGTCTGAACGAGGCACAGATCTACAGTAAAGAATACACTATGTACAATATAAAATAGAGGGACATAAAAGATTACAACGCAAAACGGAAATGTAGGAAACATGCACTTGATAACACGTCACGGATAGGTCGAGGCTGTCGGTCGACATTTTCTTGAAGAGAAACCCATCTTTCCTCGAGATAAAAGTCATGATATAGAGCGGAGAGAGTGAAAGTTTCCCCCTTTTGGAAAACAAATGTTGATATATACTGTATATAATTATATATACTTATTGTGCAAGTGAACTATTTAGATTAGCAACACTTTAAAAAGAATTCAAAAACATACGTAAATATATCAGCAATAAGAGCACATCAAGGAAAGAACAAAACATTAATTATACTGTTTTAAATTCAATATAATGTCCCTCTTGAAAGAACAGCTGTTTTGATTTGACTGCATGTACAAAAGCTTGATAATAATTTAATACTGAACAGAGAGATGAGAGGCATACACAAGCAGCAAAAACAAAAAAACCCCCAAAACCCACCGACCAGATCGTGCCGTGAAACAAGATCAACTTCATTTTGAAAATCTTAATCTTTTGAACTTCGGATGAAACCTGACGGTACGATGTTGTTGGAGAGAAAATAAAAATGAAAGATAAAATCCTGATGGAGAAGCCCACACACAAGGCAGCGTTAAAAGGTCATTTCATGATGAACGCCCCCTGAGGGAGGGCAGCCCTGAAATGTTTGAGTGTGATTGTTAAGTACTGTTTGTGCGAGATTGTTAATCATCGCACAGCAACATCGCTGCTTTATATTTAAAATGTTTAGCAGCGATTTTCCGAGTAGGAACACCGCTCATTAGTGATGAAGCCAGAGGAGCCGGTTACCTAATCGTCAAAGGTGATGCGCGTTCGGACTGTGTGTCAGAGCGAATCTGAAGCTTTGACTTTTCTGGTTTCCAGCAGTAAGAACAGCATTCTTGCTCAAATTTGGATGTAAAGGTTGTCATTTTTTTTAATGAGACTTTAAAACGTTGTTTTAAACGTAAATATTATTTATGGCAGCATCCTAGAAAGTGGTTCTGGCCCTTAAACCAAACCAACCGGAGATAATTTATCTGAGCGTAACCGCACCTCCAGTTCTCTGTCTATATGTGACCCCCCCATTGCAACTACAAGCTGTTTGTTCTTGTTTTCTTCACTTCTCATTAGTACAGCGGGATTTGCCCGGCCCACGGGTCATCGTCAGTCCCCTCTGAGGCCTTCTCCAAATCACAGCCTCAATTCATCCTCAAGCCATGTTCCATTATCTACCAGAAATGGTGTCAAACCTAAAATGAGGATGTGGTCCCAGCTAATGAAACAGCAACTGAAAAATCAGCGGGGAAAGCAGTGCTGAATTTGAACCCTAACCCTCTTCAGTGAAACTGAAGCTTACGCCAACAACAGACCTGAAGCGTCTTATCATGTACGTTGGTGCTCTTGGAAACTGGAAGCTTTGCTATGTGACTGACTTTTGCGTCAATGTCCACACTAAAAAAAGAAAAGAGTCAATTTGTTTCCATGAACGTGAAGTTCAAAAATTGTATTTTGTGTCTATTTCACAAAACTACTGTGAGAGTGTGCTTTTAATAATAGCTTTAGATTTCATGCAAGAAGCTGGCTGCTGAAGAATGTTTGGAGAAGGAATTCCTGCTCTGTCCATTTTAATTCAATGGTATGGTCACGTTCCTTGATAAGTGCGGTCACAAGACTGCAGCACTGGGGGATTGCTGTTGAGCCTGTATACAAAACCTGCCTGTCAGTATGAGAAAGTGTATGTATTCCTCTGCAAGTCAGTCGAAATTCTGTAATAGTTCTAAATGATCTTTTGGATGGTTACAGATCAGTTTGCGATGTCTGAAATGTACCAGTTTCTGAATGATTTAATGCCTTGTTTTAGTCAAATTATGTCTGAGCATGCATTTGTGCACACGGACCAGGTAAAAGCTGTGCAATCATTAGCCAACTGGACAACCTGGCAGCCTGAATGCATCTGGTAGAGGACTGTCAAGTTTACAGATAATTTTGTATATTCCTTTCTTCCAGCAGGGGTCGCTGTCTCTCCCCGTCCAAATGGCTGAGTAAAACTCTCTCAGAGCCACTTCAGACACCTCGATGAACCTCTCTGGAACCTGCACACAAAAATATGATGTCAAGGAGGAAATGTTTATTAGGAAGTCTTCTGGAAGAGAAAAATCCATTTTCGCTTTAGTTTATTATCTGAATCTGTCAGTCACATATCTATCTACCTTATCTAAAGGGATTTAAATCTGAGAAACTTGTGTTTTTCAGTGAATGTGAGGTTTTGATTGTCTCTGTACTTTCTAAAAATATCATAAGCGTTGTTGAGCAGTGAATAGTTTCACAGGAAGAACATTAGAATACCTGTTATTATAATGTGCATTCAGTGCACCCTCACAGGTGTTTTCACCCACTTTGGTAAAATACAGACTGTGACTTTGATTGTCTCTGTTTGTCTGAACGCGTCTGTCAAAGCAGACAGCTTTATCACAGCACGTAGAGACTTCTCATTGATTATTGTTAATAAATGGACCTATTCTTTCGCCGCTATGACGGAAAACACGTTAGAAGGGAACACGATCTATTCACAGCTGAACCGCACAAAGCTTTAAGCTTTGTGTAGGCGAGAGTGACTTTTCAGACTCGAGCAACCTTGTGACTTTGTTTTTACGATCACAGAGGTGATTCGGTTTTTCAGCGCTGCCTGAACGTTTCCCGGGATACATTGTAGCCATAGTAGTTTTCGCGTTCTCAATACCTTTTTAAATCCAATGACGTCTGACGAATAACAGATCACCTTGGGTGATAAAATTAATCATCATCTGTAGAATTGGAAACTAATGTGCGATGATTGTTTTATGATAGTGTGTGTCCTTCAGCAGGTCAGTGAGATATAACAGTGCTTCATTTTCTGTTTCCTTTTCATGCACAAACTCATACAAGTAAAATAATTTCTCTGCTCACTAAAGGTAATAGCACATTACACGAAATAATAACCCCAAGCTCCAGTGCTTTTCATTTCAGCGGTGTAGTATCTTTTTATTGTATATCTTCATCTTTATGCTATACATGATTTATTGAGGTTTATTTCCTCCTTAGACTTATCGTCTGCTCGGAGCTTACCAATTAATATCAGATCAGGACCTCATTCAGAGTCCAAGCAGCAGCCATATCTGGCACTTTATTGACCTCTGAAGGACAAAACAGCTTGAGTCCTGCCATCCTCACCTGGTTTGCACAAAGTGGGACTTTTATTTGATTTTCAATAAGAATGGCTCAGAACACGCATTAAATGTTTTTAAGAACTGTTTGCTCAAGAAGGTCAAACAGCTCAGATCAAATGATCTTAACTCAAAGGACCGCTGAGCTTAAGAAAATCAGCAACGGCTTGCGTTAGGCATGTATGTGAACCTTGAAAAGCATTCCAGATGACAATCTATAAAAGACATCAAAAACAGAGTGCAAGTTATCCTTCAATACATGACCCAAGACCGTGACACTGTAGACAGCACTTTAACTTGATTGGTATTTTCTTTTAAACACAGGAGCACTGCATAAAGATCCATAATCCATTAGCGCTGTACTTAGGGCTGAGGAGTATTCACATCCCCACCCAAGGACTGAGTCCAGTCGTACAACGGGTAGGCTGAAAGCTGCAACTAGAGCGTCTCCTCACCTGGTAGATGTTGCTTTTATTGTAGTGCATGTTCAGTATGCGGTAAAGCTCCGTATCACGTCCCACTCGCAGCTGACTCTCTCGGCTAATACGAGGCGCACCATCCCTGTGTTACAGAGACAAACAAACTCATTTAAATACACTCACAATAAAAAACAGATAAGAGAACCATGTATAATTTACATAAATGATATTCAGCTTCAGTTTGTTTCTGACTTTTTGCAGTCATGTTTTATGCCCATTGCTATTTGTTTTACTCGCTACCATCATGAGTTCACATCAACATGGCCACAGTGTCTAAACACCTGAGCACTCGCAGAAAAAAAAAATCTATATTCTTATCAATAAGCCTTTCCGACCTCTTAAATCAAGCGATATAAAAAATGCAGACATCTATTTCTCAGCTGCAATGATTCGTTTGATTATAGCAGAACTGAATATCTGTCATAGAGGAAACCATGATGCTTCATGCGGTTCCAAAGTCAATCATGCAATGTGTGATTCTCTATTTCTATAAAAGTTATATATGATGTCTGATGTATAAATCAGACTTTACTTCAGCTCGTCTAACAGGGGCAACATGTTCACACTCATAAGGCTCACTGAAACAATGAAAGTATTGCAAATAAAATGAGTTTAACATGAACCAGTGCCAACCCAAACCGACCGGGTGAGAGCCTCGCGGACAGCCTGGCGTGCAAAGCGCTCCATCTGGATGTAGAAGAACTCTCTGAAGTTACTGAACCATTTAATCATCTGGGAGGTCACACAGCGATTAAACTAGACCATGGATGACAGGAGAGGAAGTGAGCAGGTGAGGACAGCAAGAGAACAGTGCTTTTTTAAACACTTACAATGATATGCTAAATTAACCTGACTTGAGCTAACTTAATTGCACTTTGTTTGTTATGTCAAATTACATTCAAAAGACATTGTATACCCCCCCTTCCCCCCCTTAGTGGTCATTAAAGTAAATGACCTAATCTAAGGTTTTCTGTTGACACAGACTCCAAGAGGAGAAATAATCTCTGCAACTCCACACTGTTTATGCTTCTAAATCACTGTAAGCTTGCAGATTGTATCAGATAATACCACCTTATTAAGAGATACCCTGTGATAATAATTTATTGCAGCATATGCACGTTTAAGTGCAATGAAATATGGAAACAAAAACGTCTGGGATGCAGTCTCCAATATGTGGCAGTTTTGGCGTTTGCGCATGGCCGGTTAGCTCAGTTGGTTAGAGCGTGGTGCTAATAACGCCAAGGTCGCGGGTTCGATCCCCGTACGGGCCATCTACGTTTTCAAGCAGTTGAGCACCTTTAAACAAATGCTTTACAGAAGAAAATCTTATTAAAAATGAAATGAAAAACACCTCGAGCTTTGAGACCCGACATGTCCAACTGTGACACCAGCTTTTTAACTTATCCACAAAATTTCCAAAAATAACTCGTGAGCTGTGCAGCTCTGGCCGTGCTCCACTAACACCCACTGCGACATGGCCGGTTAGCTCAGTTGGTTAGAGCGTGGTGCTAATAACGCCAAGGTCGCGGGTTCGATCCCCGTACGGGCCAATTCCAGATTTTGTGAAGCACCAACCACTACATACGTACAATACACATGTTAGCGCTTGGTCATTTTTTCAGAGTAAATATTATATGGACTCTACTGCATCTATTAGTAGAGAGTTAATTAAAGAAAACTGTTATAATACATCAAATCAAACCACACAGCAATATGGGTACATTGGCTACAAGATTCAAGCACTTTTATATACATGTTACACCATCAGTAGTGAGCAGTTTTTTTTTAAACTTTGTGTCTCTGTATTATCACTGAAGATTTTATTATATCTGAATACTTGGAGTGCACAAATGTCCTGGTTTCCCCCAGTATATCACTGGTTGATTAGGTGATTTAAGTGATGGCCTTACAATAATTGCAGTCTTACAGTCAATTTAAATTTTTTAGAAGATTGTTCAAACTGTATTTGTTTAGGCTACAGTATGTCTCAAAAGTCATTCAAGGACTACTCATTTCCTTGAAACTCCTAAAAGACCTCACAACTATAACAAAACTGAACTTATGTAGTAATGAAAGATTTGAATAAATTCAAGATTCTTCGAAGCAGCAGCATTTGCATACTTTTGGGGGATTCGTGTTATCTGAAGCAGCGCTGCATCATTTCAAATCAAGACCTTAAAGATGTGCCTCATTGTCTTGTTAAAAGAAAACAATGTAGCTACGAAGTGCAAAACAAACACTCGTTAAGTGCTGTCTTCAATTATGAATGAATTGCTAACAGCGTAATCTGAAAACCCCACGTGGTAGCAACTGCACGCACACATCATCTATTCATCTTAGACAAAGGAATTGAGGTTGGAACCCACCACTATCAAATTTGGACTCACCAGACCACAGCCCAGATATCCACTAGTCTAATGCTCATCCTTTGTTATGCTTACTTAATACTAAATTGTAAAAAAATTAAGAAGTACAAAATTCTTTCAGCAATTTGATCCAAACGCCTGATAATTTCCTCAAAACAGCTAATCTTAAGATTCTAGGAAGCAGTGTGGTGGGCACTAATTTTAGGGCTGTTAACTGGAGATTTCGGAAGCTTTTAAGTCTCTGCAGCAGTAATAACTTCTGGTCCTTCTTCCCTCAGTTGTAAACACCACGCCTGTTCGAAGAAACCTTTAAAGTCTTTGTAATATATGGACTCACATTCATGTCTTAAAGAAATGCTGGACAGTCAATTCTCCTTCCTTAGTCATAATATCCAATACTACAGCAGCCAAACTGGCCTAACTGGCATTTCATAGCTGCGACGTCGTCCGTATTGTTTTAACAATGTAGAAAAACCTTCAGTGAGCAGGCGTGTAAAACGCAGTGGCTGATATACTGCCGTGTGACTTTGAGGCGTGTTAAAAAATAATCACTTTGAAGTGAAATTGTCGTTCCAGCACTGAGCTGGTGTACACACACCTTGACATCAGGGAAATATGTCTTGAGCGTGTTGGAGCTGGGATAGCGAGTGTAGAAGAACATGAGCTTGGCTTTCTTCAGATGGCAGGGTGACAAGCCCTCCTGGGTGTACATATGAGGTGAGTTAAGGAGATACATGTTTAAACACACACACACACACACACACACACCGACACAGCTCTCATCCTCATTCTTTCAAGCACACTGACAAAAGGATATCCCCCCAGCAGTCAGGTAGAGCTCTCCTCCATCCATCCCTCCTCCTCGCATGCCCCCATCTCCCCTCATCACTCGCTCCCTCTCTCTCCCCCCGTGCGCGTGGCGTGCAAGCGACGGGTCCAGGTGGCCGAGCAAGGGGAGCGGGGGGAAGGAGGGGTGAGACGATGGGTGGGAAGAGAACTCCAAGAAAGGGTCAGAGTTCAGGTAGTCTTTGCGGGATGACGGGAGGTGGGGGAGCTGAGGGTGGTGGAGTGAGCGGGAGAAAAGCTGCTGCATTGAGTAGTGGAGCAAGGGGAGAGGGAGAGGAGGGGGCGGAGGCGGGGGAGGAGGGGGAGGCGCAGGGAAAGAAGAGGAGGAAGAAGAGGAGGAGGTTGAAGACGGGTGGAAAGAGGAGGAGGAGGAGGGATCCTTGGGCTGAGAGGCTGGAGGCAAGAGGGGAGGGTGAGAAAGGGGAGGAGGACGAGGCAAAGAAGGGTGGTGCAGGGAGAGGTTTGGGTGAGAGGGATTGAGGTGAGTGGGGAGAGGTGGGCCAAGGAGTGGGTAGGCCTTTCGCGTGTCAGGTGACCTTTGAAGAGTCAGTGGCATCGCTAAATCGGACGGTTCAGTCCGACGGGGTGGTCGCGGGGGCAGGGCGCTCCCGTTGCTCATCTTGTGGAGCTGCTTCTCTCTTTCTCCGTCCTGCCCTCTTGTTTTGTCCTCCTTATCGCTCATTGTTTCTTCTCTTCTTCCTCTCGTTAACAGCCCCATCCACACTGCCTTCTCCTTCCCTCCGTCGCTTCCCGGATCAGATGGGAGAAAAGAGATGGCAGCGGGAGGAGAGGAAGGAGCGAAATCGGTCATCTCGGTGTAAAGGCGGAGAACTCGGTCGATGACCCGGGCCACAGCGCTGCCCAACTCCAGCTTCAGCGCCGCGGCAAACTTCTGCCCTCCCTCCTCACTCTCGTCATCTATCCCGCCATCCCAGTCTCCTCTGACCAAACCTCCGCAGTCCAGCCACAACCCGGATCCCTCCATCACACCCTCCAAGTGCAACCCTCCTCCTCCTCTTCCTCTCTCCATCCTTCTTTCTCGGTCTTTTTGCAGCTCCTCTTTCCGTTTGTGGAAGCTGTCGAAAGGGGACTCGGAAAGCAGGGAAAATGATTCCTTTTCCATCTCTCCGCCATCAGTGTCTTCCTCATCGTACATCCCTTCTGTCATGTCCTCCTCCTCTATTAGCCCTACATCCTCTTCTCTCCCATCAACTCCACCGCTGCTTCCGTTTCTGCGCTTCCTTTTCTTCTCATCCTCGGCCATGTGCTTTTCCCCAAAAGCTCTCCACACTTTCTCCTGCAAAGCCTGCAGTCTCTCCCTTGCCTCCTCCAGCTGTTCTTTCAGCTCTTCCCTTTCCCTTCTCCTCTCTTCCCTCCCTCCTTGTTTGCCTCCCTCATCGGCCTCTCCATCCCTCTGTCGGTTCTCCAGCTTCATCCTCTTCACTTTCAGGATGTCTTGATTCCATTCGACTGCGAGAGCCGCGTCATTGTGCCTCTTCTTAACCCCGAGCAAGTCGTCCTTTCCCTCTATCGCCCCCTCATCTCCCCCTTCCATTCTTTGCTCCACGTGTCCATCCCTCTCTCCTTCATCTTCCTCCACATTTCTGTCCTCCAGGTGTCTGTGTGTGCTCAGGCTTGTGTTCAGCAGCCCTCCGATCCTCCTGGGGCCTCCACCCGGCTGGAGGAGATGGTGGATCAGTGGAAAGCCGGGGGGTCTAAAGGCAGGAGTAAGGCGGCCAGCATTAGCCTGAGGATGGATTCCAGCAAGATCTGTGGAGTTGAGAGTTGGAGCAAATGTGTGTATCTGGGGAGCAGAATCATCAAAAAGATCTGTGGGTGAATCCATGGCTGTAGAGAGGCAGAAGGGACACAAAGAGACACAATAAGGATTATAATTGTTGCATTTGCGATATTTTGAGTAGTAGCAAGTGTTTTGCAGCCAAATGAAGTTACATACATGAGGTTAAATTTCATACCAATAATTAAGATGACCATAGTTTTGTGTGTAGTGCTGAAAGTGCTACATGATTTAGTATTTAATTTAATATTTAAAGCTCAAAACAGAAAAGAAACAGTTTTTAATCAGAGTACAGCATTAAATCAGTCAACCTTATTGGATAATGATATTGATTATAGTGGAAATAATAAGATAACCAGCAAAACCAAATCCAGGAGACAGGTAGTTACTCTAGAAGAGCTGGACAGTGCCCTAGGAGGTCTTTAACCCATCTTCAGGACCGGTATCTGCTCCTTTGTGCAAGGAGGAAAAAGATGAGGACTATGAGTACTGCAAGAACTACAAAATGACCTCCAGCAGGCCACTGGTGTGAATCTCTCTGACCACACAATCAGAAACAGACATCACGAGGGTGACCTGAGGGCCTGACATCCTGTAGTGGGCCCTGTGCTCGCTGCCTGGCAGCTTGGAGCTCAATCGTCATTTCCTATAGAATACCAGAATTAGCAGGGCGCCCTGTGGTTTTCACAGATGAGAGCAGATTCACCCTGAGTGTAGGTGATAGATGTGAAAGGGTCTGAAAAGCCGTGGGGAACATTATGCTGCCTGTAACATCATTCAGCATGACGAGTTTGGTGGTGGGTCAGTGATGATCTGGGGAGGCATATCAATGGAGGGATGCAAAGACCTCTGCAGGCTAGGCAACAGCACCCTGACTGCCATTGGGCATGGGGATAAATCCCACAAGCACATGGGGGCCATACAAATGAATTCAGTACTCCGTAGGTTCATCATTTTCACTTACGTCAAACATGGCATCATTCATTTCTAACACATTACCCAGTCGATAACAGTATAGGTATACAGCATGATTGTTCTTGAGCAGTGTACAATTGTGCTGGCGGGGTGTGGTTTCTGGGCTCAGTCACAAGAGGGAGAGTTGAAGCAGTGTGTTTGGGGGAGTAGTGTCTGATGAAGAGAGCAGCAAACCTGTTGGGCATGTCTAATTAACCTCTCCTCTGACAGTAATTGTGGGGCCGGAGACGAGAAAACACAAAACTGTTAGCAGTGAACCCGAGAGGCACACAGAGAGCCAAAGATCGAGTATAAAAAGTGTGTGAATAAAACCGTGTATAAAACACACCTTTCTCGCCCGTCCTTACTGGGGACCCTGTCACCAAAATTTTTACTGTATAAAGAAGAAACAGGTCTTACTAAAAAGGTTTGTAGGGCTTTTTTATGTGGATTATCTGCTCTGGTTGCTTTTCATTTTTTTCCAATGTCATTTTTAGTTCCATTCAATTGTAGCGCACTGCAGTAAGGGCAAAAATCTCAGAGGCTGTTTTGGTTGCATAAATATCTGCTAGATAGCAAATGTTTCTGTTTATCTGTGACTGCACTTGGTTGACAGTGAATGAGTGCCCATCGCAACAATATGGCTGGAACGTTACCTGGACAGCAAAACAGGTCACTGGTCTATTGCAGGACACAATCACTTTCACTTTAATAGCAAAAAGAAACAACTCCAATGTATTTGTATAGAGCTAAACGTTCATTGTGGCAGTGTTAAAGAGAGTACATTTAGCTAGAAGGCACAGAAAAGATCAGTTTCATCAGTGAGGGAAGCGACATCCTGTGGCACCAACTAAGACCTAATGGAAGGGTTAACATCTGGCTCATGATCTTTGTCACATATCGCCCTCCTCTCTTCAGGCTGTCCTTCCTGTTGTGCTTGAACGTGTGTTGTCTTAGACAGTGCAAGTATCAAAGAAGACTATATGTGAGAAAACTGAGGAAGATAAATGCACATAGATGTGGATCACGCACAATAACAGAAGTTTGGAAAAAAAAATACAAAACACTGTATGGTGGAAAATTTAGGTGCTTATTACACTCCCAGGCTAATGCTATATGGCTTGCCTACAATTCCTGGAAAAGGTTGTAAAGCAGAGACCAGTGAATGCCAGGCTTATAAACGACAGTACATCTCACTGTTTAATCAAGATCAAAAACACACATCCCAGTTCCTATTTTATATCACTGTGTAACCTCATTTCTGCCCCGATACCCCTTTTCCTTCCTCTCCATTCCTCTCTCATCCTCTCTTCCTCCTCTCTCTGTTATCAGTTCAGGCAGCTTGTTAAGCACTGTTTGATCAGAGTGTTTACCGTCAAACACACACATGAACACACAGACACACACACACACACACACACACACACACACTTTTGCACAAAAGCAAAAGAGGCTTGAGAGAGGGCTAACAATGGTCAATGGTCCTTGTGGAGTGAAATAGAGTGAGAGCAGCATGTACGTAGTGTGTGTGCATATGCAAGTGTGTGTGTGTGTGTGCATGTGTGTGTCTGTGTGCCTACGTGTGCATGAGCAGTAGTCCTACTTAGCTTTGATAACACCGCTAATCCACTTCAGATGGATACACTACAGCTCACTGAACAGATGTAAGGACAGGACAGATTTAAGGACTGACAGAGGTACAGGAAAATACAGAAAATATGAACACACACACAAGGATGCACAAACACACACATCACAAAAAACAATAGCTAGACAAAACAGATAGATAGATAGATAGATAGATAGATAGATAGATAGATAGATAGATAGATAGATAGATAGATAGATAGATAGATAGATAGATAGATAG